TAGTTTTTACTCTAGTTGATTAGTATACTTTAACAAAACATCGGAAAGAGAGATTTAACCTAATTCTTCACAAGGATATTATATCAGTGATACTTGTGTCATGAACAAAAGGTCTAAACTTTATTTACCTACCTCAGTTGTTGACTTTACAGAACATGGAGAAAATAGCACCAGCGATGCAGAAAGTACCTGTTTGTCAAGTGAGAGTACAGACATGGACTAAAATCAATGGCCCGTTAAATACCTCCTTTTGCTGTTTAAAGCACATTCTATCTCTGTGAAATAATTGTTAATGCAGAATGTTATAACTACGCAAAGGAATGAAATTTCTATACCTCCAGTCAGAGTAGAGGCTCAGTAAGGTACTCTGAGTTGTGTCCCCTTCTTTTGTGATTCTAAACTATTGGAAAGGCTTACCTAGAGTGTAATTAGGAATCAGGAGATCAATAAATATCATAATTAGCCCAGCCTGCATGGCTCAGTGGTTGACCTATGAACCAAGAGGTCAAGGTTTGATTCCCAGTAGGGCATATGCCTGGGTTGCAGGCCAGATCCCCAGTATGGAGTATGCAGGAGGCAGCCCATCAATGATTCTCTCTCATCATAGATGTTTCTATCTCTCTCTGCCTCTCTGAAATCAATAAAAATATTTTTTAAAAATAGAAATATCATAATTTATGTTTTGGCATGCCTATGTGTGTGTGTGCGTGCACACATGCACCATTTTTCAATTTTTAGTAGTATTGTAACACTTTCTGGGAAATAATTGTGCTTTTATTTAAGAAAAAAGTTGCTTGCTTAGGTGTCCACAAATACTTTCCACAAGAAAGTATTTTATTTTATTTTTGGCTGTAAAAATGTATAATCACTTTTAATTACATTACATTTAATGGAAAAGATATCTTTGTAATATTGACACAGTAGAAAAACATGCACACCACAGGTTAAAAGTCTCATTGTGAAATGTTATTCGTTATAAGATATAGTGATTTTTAATTTCCTCTTTAAAAGAGAGGACTAAATTTTAATTAATAGAAGCTACTTATAGAAAAAAATCAGGAGTAGCGTTAGCAACCAATTAAGAAGGATTTTTGTCTTAAGAGTTTGTGTGTTTGATGTGAGATGGTTATAAATGTTCTATCATATTTTTTCTTTCCTAGTTTTCAGTTCTCCCATACTATACTAGTGGTGCTTTGTATGGGAAAAAATGTTTCAGCATATGTTCCCTTTCTTTCCCTTTAAGTTGTCTATGGTAAGATATATATAGTTTTGCTAATGTTTACGTGCCTGAGTACCCCAAATCTAGCAAACATTACACTAGCTGATGGATCTGATTCTAGGTACCTTGAACCATTGTCGACTAAAGAGACTGTTCAAATAGAATATTATTTTACTGGTTGTTTTCCTAAAAGAGAAACTCTGGGGATGAAATAGAGCTTAAAAATAGGATGTATGTGTTTCGGGGGATGAGAAAGGTGTGGAGATGAGGAATTTTAGAGAGAGTGGGCTTATAGTATTATACCATGAGGGAATGGACATTTCAGTAGTCTTAAACCAACCCCCAAAATCTTTGAACCTATAGGCATTTGTGTGATTAAATATGGTGAAACCTAGTTAATGAAGTATCTAACATTAAAAATCCTATATAATAAAAGGGTAATATGCAAATTGACCCTAACAGCAGAACAACTGGGAATGACTGGTCACTATGACACACACTGACCACCAGGGGGCAGACGCTCAATGCAGGAGATGCCCCCTGGTAAATTTAAGTTTAGAAATACCTTTTTGGTGGTTTAGAAATACCCTGGTGGTCAGTGCACTCCCACAGGGGGAGCTCTGCTCAGCCACAAGCCAGGCTGACGGCTGCCAGCACAGCGGTGGTGGCGGGAG